AGCCAGGAGGAGGCGTGTCGCGGATTGGAGGCCCAGCTGAGCCAGGAACATGGCGAGCAGCAGGAGTCTGGCCAGCGGCTACACGACTCCCTGGAGCAGCGGTGGCACTTTCAGGAGAAGCTGCGAGAGCAGGAGGCCCCTCAGGAGAACCAGCCTGATGATCAACAGCCACCCCCCCCCAGAAGTCACAGAGGAAGAAGAGTAGGAGCTTGGGGGGGGGCTGCGTCTCCAGAGCCTGCTGACCACCCAGTGCTCCCTAACAGCTCATCTCTGCCAGTGGTCCCTAGCTGCTCGGCAGGTCTGCGGTCCCCAAAGAGAGGTGCTCGGCTGTGAGAGTCTCTGGGTGTCATGCTCCCCAGCCTGGAGGACCCCCTGGAAGCAGCAGCATTTCCCCCTTAGGCCATGTGGAGGGAAGGTCCCCCCCAGGTGAGCATCACTGGTTGCCCCCCCCCCCCCCCCACCAAAGCATAGTGATATTGGGAAGTCAGCACCCCCTAAGAAACTGGCTCATTGATGTGATGCAGCTACTCCCCTCAGGTAAAGACTCAGATCTCCAACCACCAGAATAACACACTTGGAGAACGGCTTCTTCCTCAGTGCTATCAGCCTCCTCAACAGCCTCCTGCTTATACTCAAATAGCAATGCAACATTTACACCGTTTCAGTGATTACCTGCAGCACAGCGCATTATAAGAGCACATTGCAGGTGATGCGCTGTAGGTATGGATGGATGTTTTCTGCATTTTATCTCTGTCAATTTTCAGCATTGCACTAAATTTGCACAGACTAATGTATTTACCCCCTACTTTGTATTTAGGCCTCTCTGTTGCATGTTGGGTATCTTGCATTTATTCTCTCTCCATGTTATGCTCAATTGTCATGGTGTCCCCAACTGTCACTCTGTGTTGACACAAACTTCCGCTGCCTTTGGTCATGTGGCAAGAAAGATTCAGCTTCTCACTCTGTAATCATTTTTTCCAGTGTTCCTGGTTTTATCCCTGCATCGCTTAATTCTCTGTACATGTGAAAAGCCGGCAAGACAGAGTACAACACGAGAGAAGATGAGTCAATATGAGACAAGGTAAGGTAGGACAGGACAGGGCAGGACAGGATAGGTATTCAATGTCCTTTGTGGTTTAGGGTGACTTATTTAGGAAGCATATACAGTAAATTTTAGTCCATGAGAAAATCGATGTCGTCTCTGATGCAGTTACACAGCCGGTCGACATCCTGAACATAAAGGTCACGACGTTCCAGGCTGTCAGCATTTCTGTGGATTCTGCATTGTTCCTTGCGGTCTGACCAGTTCAGGAGAGGGTGTGCTTTCTTCTCGTTTGCATAGACTCCTCTCTTACACTCTGCACACTGTGTAAAGTCGCTCAGTGCACTGCAGGGAGTGACTTGAATGAAGTCACCAGAGATTGCTACAAATCTGCTGGGCCGTTGTGCTTGAAAATACTGCAGAGTATCGTCGGGCCCCACACTCGGCATCCCTGATGGATAAAGATGCAAAACAATGACAGCAATTACGTGTGAAAATTCCCACAGCGGGGGGGGGGCATGTCCTCAGGCTCAGAAGCAGCGACTCGTTACTAGCAAAGCTGAGTCGTTCTACAGTCACATGCTTAGGATTACGCCAACTGGGGATATTAAAGAGAGGTATCCAGGGGTGGAGTGGCAACAAAACGCATCCCGGGAGCTGGTTGGTTACCCCTGGTATATTTTTGCTGCCAACTGGGGGAGGGGGGGGGATGGTCCACCTTAGTGTATTTTGCAGATCACGATCGACCGATTGGCCACCACGGAAATGAAGCAATTCTCCATTAATCATCTCCCGCGATCCACCTGGACACACGCCGAACTCAGCTGATGGGTCCGGCACCGATGGGTTATGGGTTATGTAATGCCGGGGTTGGGAAGGGAGACCGACCCGTTGGGGCTTGGTGCCTGTGACTGGAAGGTCATGGGTTTGATTCTCGCGCTCAGAAGAGCAGCCATGTCTCCATTGGGCGCTTAAGCAGAGGTCCCCAATCCCCCGGAAAAGGTCCTGCATGAACGACTGGCCCACGCGCTCAGAAGAGCAGCCATGTCTCCATTGGGCGCTTAAGCAGAGGTCCCCAATCCCCCGGAAAAGGTCCTGCATGAACGACTGGCCCACGCGCTCAGAAGAGCAGCCATGTCTCCATTGGGCGCTTAAGCAGAGGTCCCCAATCCCCCGGAAAAGGTCCTGCATGAACGACTGGCCCCCGCGCTCAGATCTCAGGATTTGCTCTCACCTCTTCATGTGCATTTTTACAAAAAGAAGAACAAGATGGTATAAGTGGGGGAAAACACGTTCTAATGGACCTGTTCTCGTACAAATGGCTGATCTTCATTTCAATGACAATTCCGTCGCAGACCCAAACCATGCAAAGGTGTGGGACACAGCGACCCGGGTTACCATCTGAAATGGGCTGAAACTTGGCAGTAGTGCATTCTGGGTTGGCAAAGGATAGTACTGTAGAGCTAAAATATTTTTACCATGCACTGCACCATATGAGGAACACCCCCCCCCACACACACACTAACAAAAGACCATGATTCCTGACAGCACAGAGCCCCCTTAACACAGAGTGCACCTCATAAACACTGCCCCCCCCCCCCACTTCAATCCCAGCATGCAGTTCGGTATTTCTCACATTCCGCTGTGTGTCTCCGGTGGACTTGCATAGTCGGGGTGTGTCATGCTGGTAACCTGAGAAGTCTCCGTACGCTGGCAAGCGGCGTGTGTGCCAGACCATCCCCTGCGGTCTGGATCATGTCCCAACCATCATACAGCTGCCATGTTCTGCCTGCACCTGTCTCCTTTCCTCATGGCTGACCGACAGGACAGCTGTCCTTCAGGGAGCCCCACCCTCCTTCAGCCCTGTATGCTTGCCTTTAGCGTAAGCAGACACATATATGCGTGTGGCCTGTATTCACGCCAGTCGGTGTGTGTTTGTGACTGCAAGGATGAGTTTCATGTCACGGGTGCGTGTTGGTGCTGAATCCGTCTGCCTTGTCTGTCAGCCAGTCTGTTCCTGTGAGGAATATTTAGCCCAGGGAATATTTTTGTGTGTGAGCCCTCAGTGTACCCTGTGAGTCACCACACTGGTCTTGCATTATCCACAACAAAAGTCAGTGGTCAGAAGTGAAATAAAATACATGACTGCTAAAGTGATAGATGAAATAAACACATAACCTTTAGTCCGCCAGGAAGAATGTCAGAATTATCCATTTACTTTAATGCGCTTCCAGTTTTAATCATAACGCATTGGCTGTGGCAGCAGACTACGCAGACAGCGTTACATGTGTGCGCGATAATTACGCGATTTTACTACCAAACACCGCTTGGACACAGAAAGTGACGGATGGCGCACTGTGATGTGGTGCGTTAGCTGTCCCCTAGCTGTAAGGAGCTGCCTGCTCGCTCCGTGCCCTGATTGAGCCCAACAGCTGAGAGAGATGAAGTGAGAGGGGTCCACCGTGGAAAAGGAAGGTTTGGAAGATGTTACGTTGGATAACTATCGTTTTGTGTTCGACCTGAAGTGAAGCGAAGTGGGACCTGTACAGCACTATACTGTGGGTAAATCTGACAGTGCGACAGTCCGGCACCGTGCGAAAACAGCGACGAGACTAACAGTCACCAAAAGCAGTTTTCGGACGCATATTTTTAGGATCCGAAGATCCCTGCAGAAGGAAGGAGACAATAGTTTTTTTGGTTTTTTTTTTTAAACTCCAGCGTCAGAAGAGCGTTATATGGATCGATCGGAGTATTAAATAGCTGTGCCCTACTCTCCGATTCGTTCGGCGCTCGAGTTGGCATGGGCTGCTGGACATGCCCATCGAGAGAGAAATGCTGGGGACAGATGAGACTCCATTTGGGCTGTCTGTCAATTATTGTATCCCCACGGACTCCAAGACCGCAACGGCTTCAGCTGGAATAAACAGACTATAACTGGAGCGCGTCGGGGTACGATTGCATTTTTCGTCCTGCATTTATGCATTGATTGATTTCTTCATGAAAGCTGTGGATCCCAGCACTGTAGAATAAAACGCACGTTTTAGGTGACACACCTCGTTTTCTTTCTCCATGTGTCTGACAGTGAAGAGAGGAAATCCAGCTTTTTTGCGGAAGTTTTGCGTTGAAGGCAAACTTTGCCGATCCGGACTGATATGTGATTTTTCAGCAGAGGATTAAGGTAGGAAAAGCGGAGAGATGCGCGCAGAAGTTGCGTCCCCGCGTGCCACAAGTGCGTCTGTGCCCGGGGGGGACTTGCTAAAGTCGGATTTATCTTTCATTTATTATTTTGGTTACGTAACTCGTAATAAACCCAGACAGCTGTCATTCCTGAAGCAAACACAGCTTTCAGAGGCCAGCCGAAATGGGTCAGTATTTCTCGGTAAAACCAGCAATATTTGATCAGTTCTAATTTAGGGCATGTTGGTGTATTTACTACTCAAGAATGCGACGAAACCCAAAGCGTCAGTCTTTGTTCGCTTTATAGGCCTAATTCTATTAATGAAACTGTTTTGAATAGGCCTGCAAGGTCGCCAGCAGTACAGACACCCTTTATTCGGATATCCGATATTTATGTGAAATGATGTGATTTCCCTTTTAAAAACAACCTTAATCTGGTATTCGTGCACATTACGTTTAAATAATACGGTGTAACGTTTATCTTCCATTCTTTAAGCAGGAGCTCATATTTTAGGTAGATACTTTGATTCACTATGTTCAGATTGATCGTGTTAGTGTCTGTGTGTATCTCTCTCTCTCTCTCTCTCTCTCTCTCTTTCTGTATGCGTGTGTGTTTATGTGCAAATACGGACAAACAATTCTAAAACTGTGCTGTGGGGGGTGGTGTTGGGGAAGGTGTGGTTAACCAGTAATTGGCACAGTCAGATTTTAATTTCCAGCTCACACGCCTGTTGCCAAGTAATACAGGCCCCCTTTCACCCTGTGTGTGTGTGTGTGGGGGGGGGGGGGGTATGTATATTACATTGTGGGGACCGATGAAAACATGTTATTTTGGGGGGCATTTTTCTAGTCTCCACAAGAGGAAACTCAATTCAATACAGATCTGTGACTGAAATGAGAAACTAAAAATGTCTTGTATTTTGTCTGGTTACTTATGGATGAGGTTAGGGCTGGGTGGGCATTAGGGTTGCCATTGTTGGAATTAGGGTTATGGCCATAGAAATGAATGGAGAGTCCCCACAAAGTTGTGAATACAAATCAGTGTTTGTGTGTGTGTGTGTGTGTGTGTGTGTGTGTGTGTGTTTGTGTTTGTGTGCTTTGTGCATGTGCCCTTCTGTAGTTTAAAAGCACGCTCATTAGCAAAGTTTTCCACACTTCCAGGAACCAAGGTTAATTCCAGCATTAACTGTCAGGCCATTCAGTGTCAGTCCATTCAGACATTAATGGGCCTTAATTATTAGAACTAACAATGCCTCCCTTGTGGAAATCACTGCATAGTTCACATATGGACTAAACTGCGGGAGAACTTTGAGCCTGATGTGGGACTCTGAGCAACTGGGGGACTCTGAGCCTGATGTGGGACTCCGAACCTGATGTGGGACTCCGAACCTGATGTGGGACTCTGAGCCGCTGGGGGACTCAGCCTGATGTGGGACTCTGAACCGCTGGGGGACTCTGAGCCTGATGGGGGACTCTGAGCCCTGTGGGACTCAGTCTGATGTGGGACTCTGAACCGCTGGGGGACTCTGAGCCTGATGGGGGACTCTGAGCCACTGGGGGACTCTGAGCCCTGTTGGACTCAGCCTGATGTGGGACTCTGAACCGCTGGGGGACTCTGAGCCACTGGGGGACTCTGAGCCTGATGTGGGACTCTGAGCCCTGTGGGACTCTGAACTGCTGGGGGACTCTGAGCCTGATGTGGGACTCTGAGCCTGATTGGAGACTCTGAGCCCTATGGGACTCTGAGCTGCTGGGGGACTCTGAGCCTGATGTGGGACTCTGAGCCACTAGGGGACTCTGAGCCCTGTTGGACTCAGCCTGATGTGGGACTCTGAGCCCTGTGGGACTCAGCCTGATGTGGGACTCTGAACCGCTGGGGGACTCTGAGCCTGATGGGGGACTCTGAGCCACTGGGGGACTCTGAGCCTGATGTGGGACTCTGAGCCTGATGTGGGACTCTGAGCCACTGGGGGACTCTGAGCCTGATGTGGGACTCTGAGCCTGATGTGGGACTCTGAGCCTGATGGGAGACTCTGAGCCCTATGGGACTCTGAGCTGCTGGGGGACACTGAGCCTGATGGGGGACTCTGAGCCTGATGGGAGACTCTGAGCCTGATGGATGCTGTTCAGACCTAATTCAGAGGCATTTTAGCTCTGGGGGCCTCAGGTTTCTCCCCTCACTGCCTCAGTTTTGCTTCCTCTTGATTTCTCACCTTTCTCACTCATATATTTGGTGCACCAGGCAGGGTGTTATAAGGATCTGCGGCTTAGGATGCTGTGCTTGTAATCAGATGCTTGTTAGTTCAAATCCTGGTACTGGCAGAGTGATTTCCTTTTTGAGATGTTGAGCAAGGTCCATAACCCTCAGTTGCTCCTGGGGCTGTCTGACCCCAATTTCTCAAAATTAAAACTCTCCTTTTGATGAAGATATCTGCTAGCTTAATAAATGTAAACAGTTACCACTGATCTATTAATCAGATGCCCTGATTCGATTCAATTCTGACTCAAGAGCTAAAGTCGTGATTCAGTCCAATTCAATTCGATTCCAATTCAATATCAATCCGATAGGAATGAGACATGAAATACTATGTAGCAGTTTTTCCATATGTGGAGATTTTTAAAAAGCACTAAATGGATCACAAATTAAAAAATGTTTCAGAAGCACTTTAACTTAAAGATATGGAAAAAAATCTTTAAAATATATATTTTAATATATGCTGAAAATGACTGCCCTACTTGCCTTGCTGGCCCCCACATGCGTTCACACGCTTGGTGTGCTCCTTTACCATGGCTGCTCGAATTCAGGGGCTGCTCCCCCCAGAATAAGCAGTGATAGCGGCAGACAGCTAACCAGTGACCACATCGCAGGCAGAGAATGGCTTACATGCTACGCTGCCTAACCGCTAAAAGAAAACACAAAACTTGTGATTGTCAGCTGCTCCCAGCTCATTTCTGGGTGGGGTTACAGGGGCATGGGGTTCGAGTGACAGGGGTGATAGGAGGGATGTACAGAGAGTGTAACCCCCCCCCCCCAACAGACTATAAAGCAGCTGAACTGAAATGTCTGCAGTGACCAGCAACAAAAACAACAAGGGTGGCTCTCTAAGAGAACAATGGAGCAATAGATCACAGACAAAATGAGGTCTGAAGGTGCGGTGGGGAATCTCTCTCTCTCCCTCTCTCTGTCTCTCCCTTTCTGCCTCTCTCTCTCTCTTCCTTTCTGCCTCTCTCTTCCTCTCTCTCTGTCTGTCTCTCTCTTCCTTGTTCTTTCTCTCTCCCTCTCTCTGTTTCTCTTTCTGTCTCTCTGTCCTTCTCTCTATCTCTCTCTCGCTTGTTCTCTCTCTTGCTCTCTCCCTCCCTCTCCCTGTCTCTCTCTGTCCCTCTTTCCCTGTCTCTCTCCCCCTTGTTCTCTCTCTCTTACTCTCTCTGTCTGTCTCTCTCTCTCTCCCTTCCCACCCCTTTGCTGTGTTTTGCATGTGATCTGCAGTCTGCACTGGCAGGTATCTGCTAGTTTGATCTCTGACCTAGGACCTCAAGACTTTGATGGTCTTATAACACCCATCTTAGGGACTTTAAGGGCAATATTACATTTTCCTGTCAGGGAATTTGTCACATGGAAATTGTCGGTGAACATCAGCAGCTTTTGCATATGGGAATATTTTCTGACCAAATTCTAGGTTTTGTCATTCTTTACCACTGAAATACATATATGTTGAGGTCATGACTTGCTTGTCTGGGAGTGGTGACCTTCTCCACCCTGTAGGATGCTTCAAATGTCAGAATTTGATCCGTCTTTTGGCTGGATGAGGCGGCACCAGGTGCCCATGGGCAGGAGACCATGCGACGGGTTCTTAGGGCAGCAGTCTCATTGGCTGTGTGTGTGCACGAGGGCAGCAGTCTCATTGGCTGTGTGTGTGCACGAGGGCAGCAGTCTC